ATTATTATTATTATTATTTTATTCTGATTATTATTATTCTGATTATTCTGAATATTATTATTGCTATTGTGTCGCATATCTCCAGGCCTCCAGTTGTTGGCGCTCAAACCTTCGGTGAAGCCCGAGTCTCAGGAGGGGACAGCCTTCAAGGAGTTGTTACGTGATCCCTACATCCTTGTGGCCGCGGGTAAGTATAACACTGCGGTAGAAACACGGCGTCAGTCAAATTTAGTTAGTAGTATAATAAAAATGATTATCTGAGTACAGTGGTGAAGCTATTTACCGTTAAACCATAGGTGCTGAAGCTCTGAGAGAGTAGTTATAAACACAACCTAATCAACAAACAAACATAAAGACATTAATAAAGGAAACCCAACTAATAATGATAAAAGTAACAATAATAATAACAATGATAACAATAATAAACATAATAAAAAAAAATAAAAAAATATTAATAACAACAACAACAATAACAACAATGATAACAATAATAAAAATAAGAACAATAATAATAATATTGATGATAATAATAATAATAATAATAATAATAATAATAATAATAATAATAATAATAATAATAATAATAATAATAATAATAAACGTAAATAAATAATATTCAGGACCAGTTATAACATCAACTACTTGGGGAGAGATGTCGCAAAAACGATTTTTAAAAGGATGAAAACTCAATATCATGAAATAGTAGATCTACTTGCTTTAAAGTGACTGTACAAGAAAAAGCACTCAATATTGCCAGAGACAAGAAGTATCTTATGTTTTTGTTTTTTCCATAGGAGCCATTACTTTCGGTAACATGGGCATCGCCATGATGGAGCCGTCTCTTCCTATCTGGATGTACAAGACGATGCATTCTGTTGAATGGGAGCAAGGTAATTATCTTGGATATGGTCAAAGATTGTGTAATCAGATTTGAAATACGAATATAACGATTCCACCAACCCCGATGGCATGGCAATGTTCATTAAGTCTTCAAGACTTAAGAGAGAGAGAGAGAGAGGGAGAGAGAGAGAGAGAAGGAGAGAGAGAGAGAGAGAGAGAGAGAGAGAGAGAGAGAGAGAGAGAGAGAGAGAGACAGAGACAGAGACAGAGACACAGACAGAGACACAGAGAGAGAGAGAGAATGTTTTACCGAGCGGGTTTGTTCCTGCAAGTGAGACCTGTATTTACTAATGTCCTGTCTTATTGTGCGTACGCGTGAGTGCATCTGCCTTTCGTAACGCCTACTGCCATAGTTAACGACCATAACAAATTTCTCCCTGAGAGATAAATAAAGATTGTCATTGTCATTGTCTTTGTCATTGTCAAGACGCAGGGGACACATGCGTCCGATCAGCAGTTGATGAAAGTGCAATGTTATACGAGCACATTTCGAACCGTATAACATAAATTAGAAATGCGAATCTGTACAATTTCTTTGTTTTCATGGTGTTACTTGCTATTTTAAAATAGGTTAACGAATTAAGCTACTTTTCTTAATTTCCCCCAAACTAAACACTGCGTCTTCAAGCTCTATTGAATGATCATTATTATGAGCGTCCTCAATCAGTTTTTAAGAAAGTTTAAAATGATGAGGACGTTTTCTTTGAGTGTAGGTGTGGGTGTGCGTATGTGTGTGTGTGTGTGTGTGTGTGTGTGTGTATGTGTGTGTGTGTGTGTGTGTGTGTGTGTGTGTGTGCGTGCGCGTGTGCTTGTGTGCCTATACACGTGTGAATGTGTGTATTATGAGTGTGTGTGTGTGTTTGTTCGTTTGTTTGTTTGTTTGTTCGTGTGTGTGTATGTGTGTGTGTGTGTGCCTGTTTGTACACACATTGAGTTGATGTTATTCATAGAAGAAAGTACATCGTATCAGCGACCAGGGCAACATTATTGTTGGGCTTGAATATCAGAGATGAAGAGGTTTTTAAGGAAGCCGCGTATCTAAAGTACAATCTTTGGTGGGATTTATGAGCGGGCGTCCTTTAGATCTGACATGAAAAAATGGCGAATATGAAGCCTTAAAAAATTTAAATGTTTCATTTCTGCTTTCTTTTTTAAAATAGGAAAATTGTATTAAGAATATAAATATATATATA